AGGGCTAACGTTAGCCCGTCTGCAGCGGCCAGGGCTAACGTTAGCCCGTCTGCAGCGGCCAGGGCTAACGTTAGCCCGTCTGCAGCGGCCAGGGCTAATGTTAGCCCGTCTGCAGCGGCCAGGGCTAACGTTAGCCAGTCTGCAGCGGCCAGGGCTAACGTTAGCCCGTCTGCAGCAGCCAGGGCTAATGTTAGCATGTCAGCAGCAGCCCTCTCTCCTCATAGCCGTGTGTAAAGTACTGCTGGCTACGATGGAGGTTTCTTGTTTTATTTGGAAAAATGTTCATTTGATTTGTGTTTATCTCACTGTGTTCATTATTATTACTATTCCCCCAAAAATTAAAAAAGTAAGAATTCATTATCATCTAGAGACTTTTAATAACAGAAGGTGAAATGCAGCTCCAGATTAGCTTTGAATGTTGTGATGTCATCAGTACGCTTCTGTTCCAATCGAGCCATATTTATGCTACTTCCCCCGTTCTCCCTGAGTCCAGACTTTCTTGTGTTCTTCTCAAGAACAGACTTGGCGAGGACACGAGTCCGTACTCGCGTTCATGTGAACTGAGAAACAACCTTGGAGTTTAGATTTACTAACACAACCTCATAAAGTTCATTCTGGATCCTTGGATCCATTAAACAGGTGGAGATAATCTGGACCGGACTCTGGATCCATTCATGGTTCTGCTCTTACCTCCACTCTGACATTCCTTCTCTTGCAAACAACAGTGAGGCTCTGTTTAAGAATGAACTGCTCCCTCTTGTGGACATTCATCATTTTTAAGCAAATGGTATCCATTAACTGGATTGAACAAATGTTTATCTACCGATAATTGACAAATAAACCTAAAATTATTATTTGTTTGCATCCCTAGTTTCAGAAATAGTTTCTAATCTGGTTCCGCTCTGGATTGGTTTACTTCTAATCTGTCATTTAGAGATATTTCTATAACTCTGTTTACTTTGAACCGAGGAGTTCCTCAGGGTTCTGTTTTCCTTTAACATCAATTTTATTATAGTGTTTCACTGCTAAAAAGCCATCAGAATGTTATTTATGCTTTAATCCAACTAGATATGTTTTTTCTTTTTAATTCTCTTTGAATGTGATTATTCTCTATCTTGATTTGCTGAGTTATCTACTTTATGATGATGTTAAAATAATGTCAAACCTCTGAGGTCCAAAGCAAATAACAAATTACAGGGACTCTAAATATAGCTGGTTCCACTTTATTTAATTTTATAGCATCATATTGAGGGGCTTTGAGTAAACCTACATTCCAGACTTTCTTAAAAAGGCAACAGACTCGATGCTCCTGTAGAATAAACAACCTGATCAGTGTTTAAATCAGTGCTTCCACTCCTCCCAGTTCTTCCAGTTGGACGTGTACCAGAGGGACGGGACTCCACTGACTGTAGATCAGCTCTGTGTTCAGCTGGAGAAGATCTGCAGAGCCTCACAGGAGACCAACAGCGAACCTGTGGGCATCCTCACCACCCAGCATCGAGACGTCTGGGGAAAAGCTTACGTCAACCTCATCAAAGGTTCGTCACAGACTGACGTGTACGGGTCAGAACCGGGCCTAAAGCCTGGATTACTGTGGCTCAGAAAATTAAGGATAAAATCCTCTTCACCTTTTTATTACTGAGGTTTATTTCCTCACTAGTATGTAATTCAACCCTTCTACCACTAGATGTCAGTCATGGAGCAGAGAATTAGAGTTTCAGATGGTAAAAGATGGTTTTCATCAGAATAAATGTCACAAAATCCAGAGAAACCATCAACATCTGAACCATTTGACTGGTTTCTATTATTTTCTAATCTATGTAATGAGTTTTTCCTGGTCTGAAATGAAAAACTGTCCCGATATTCGACTAATAAAGCATCTTTTAATAACAGATAAAGATTTAAGGCCTCAGTTACTGAACAAATGTTAGCAGGAGGGATAATTCATGTAAAAACATCCAGAACATCTTAATATCTGATTCCTCTTTCCTCCGGCTCCAGATAAGACCAACAAAGATTCGGTCTCGGCGATCCAGAGGAGCATCTTCACGCTGTGTCTGGATGGAGTCACGTCCGAGGCGGCCGGTGAGCTTTACCGCAGCTCTGCCGCCGTCCAGATGCTGCATGGAGGAGGCAGCCGGGGCTACAGTGGAAACCGCTGGTTCGACAAGACGCTGCAGGTAACCGGACCGGACCGGCTGGTCCAATTTAAGCTCAGGTCTTTATAGAAAGGCTGGAAGCACAGAGAGCTGTTTGCTTCGCTGATCAGTAAATGTTTCTGGTTCCTTTAGTTCATTGTTGGAGAAGATGGAACCTGTGGAGTGAACTATGAGCACGCTCCTGCTGAGGGCCCCCCCATCGTGGCGCTGATCGACCATGTGGTGGAGTTCACGTCAGTGACACAGAAACCCAAACCAATCAGACGAAGCTCTGAAATAAAGATTTTATCCAATAAAACTTTTGTTCTAACAGAACATTAAATTTATGGAAGCCTGTTTCCGCCACATGGAAATAAAAAAATGCCAAATAGAAATTCATAATTATGAGTTACAAAGTTTAAAAGTCGAATATCTGATAATTATGACTTTTTATTAGGTATTCTTTACTTTCCTGTAAAATAAATCCTTTCCATTTGGTGTTTTTTCTCCCGTTACCATGGAAACAGGAGGAAGCCTGAGGCACCCGGAGCTCCTGCTGGGTCTCTTCCCGTCCCTCAAAGACTTCCCTTCAACGTCACGGCTGAGATCAAGCAGGACATCGAGGAGGCAAAGCTCAGCATGAACAGGTGAGAGCGGCAGGATGAGCCGCCTGGTGGACGTCCATCTGTCCGTCCATCTGTCCGTCCATCTGTCTGTCCCGCCACTCAGCGTCTGTCCCTCTACAGGCTGGCCCAGGACCTGGACATGAGGGTGACGGTGTTCGGACACTTTGGGAAGAACGTCCCTAAAGCTCACAAGATGAGTCCGGATGCTTTTATACAGATCGCCCTGCAGCTGGCCTACTACAGGTGAGAGGAGGACCGGTTCAGGGATGTTCGGCTCCAGTCGGTTGAACTTTGATCATTTTTGAAGTAGAACTGTTGCTTAAAATTGTTTCAAGTGCACCCCGATCACATGACCGCTGCGAACGAAGCCTCGTTACGTCACACTTTGTGTTGAGCTTCAAAGTCTATTAGAATAAACTGAGAGTTTTAATAATAGTGAAGTATTTAAATAACATCAGAATCACGGCTCATACAGATTTTTTCCCATTTACGGTTTTATTCAAAGAAAGGGAAAGAAATGTTATATTTACAGTATATATATATATATATATATATATATATATATATATATATATATATATATATATATATATATATATATATATATATATATATAAACTACCGTTAAAGTTTGGGGTCACATTGAAATGTCCTTATTTTTGAAGGAAAAGCTGTACTTTTCAATAAAGATAACTGTAAAGTAGTCTTAACTTTAAAGAAATACACTCTATACATTGCTAATGTGGTAAATGACTATTCTAGCTGCAAATGTCTGGTTTTTGGTGCAATATCTACATAGGTGTATAGAGGCGCATTTCCAGCAACTATCACTAGTTTAGGTCTAGTTTAGAATTTATTCTGAATAGTTTGCTTCATGCACATAGATCTAAAATATACAGAGACACACACCTATACAGCCTAGGGCTACAATTAACGATTATTTTTGCTAATTGATTCATCTGTCGATTGTTTTTTCGATTAATAAGCAAACAGCCAAAGGACCCTTAAAGAAGATATTTTACCAAATGAAAGCAGGTAAAACTACAACTTTTCCACTTGAGGAGTTCTGGATTGAGCATATTGACTGACAAAGTTTTTGTAGACAAGACATACTTCTTCCCATAACAAGCCAGATTCTGTCAACCCAAACATATAAGAAAAACGTACTTTTTGGTTGATAAAAGCTTGTTTAATTTTTTTATTTGGTAGAACAGATCCCAGCCCTATTTTACTAGCAATGCAATGCACTCACTGGCCACTAGGGGTAGAATTATCAGTTGGGAATTGCAGATTAAAAGGATAATTTGTTAATGTGTTTATATAGCTGTAGGTGCAGCCCACTCTAATATTAGGCTGCACAGGCAGGAAGTGTCCTAATTAACAAAAAGTAGCCAAAAACGAAATGCAGATATGCAACAGAGATGGATTTGATCACAGAATCTCTCAGCTTCGATGCGTGCAGGTTAATCTGTACCCCAATCGAATAAATATGCAGTTTGGAAACCAGGATGGATTAGAATTGGGAGCCATAGTTAAAGGATCACACCGTCACATAGCTGTTATGCATCAGAAGGTCTGTTTATCATATTGCAATTTCACAGGTCAGACAATTTTTTTCATAATTATTTATGTATATAATCATTATTAATACTATTATTATGGAACAAACCATTTCAGCCGTGAAAAAAGAATACCCGCTCAGTTGTAGTTCTCATAGCTACCCAGCAGATGCCGCCATTCTAAACTGTAGCAAATGTGTGGAGTTTTTGCTGATTGTGTTAAATTGGTTCATTGGTTCATGAGGCTTTGAAACTGTCATCACTAGACCGGTTCTGGTACCTTTAGTGCTGCTATCATCTCTCAGTTTGTCCTGTTCTTGGTTCCCAGGAAGTACCGGCGCTGCTGCGCTACGTATGAAAGCGCCTCTCTGAGAATGTTCCGACTGGGTCGCACCGATACGATCCGATCCGCCTCAAACGCCTCAGCCGCCTTCGTTAAGGCCTTCGATGATCCCAGCAAACAGGTCAGCAGCTGCTAAACGGACCATCTGATCAGAACTCCAGAACCTGATAAAGTCCAACTTTGTGACAGATAAAACCTGGAGATGGATCAGATATTTTTAGGATTTAATGATGTGAATGTTCTGAACATGAAGCTTCATTCCAACATCTTCTGTTTGACACCAGAACCAGGAGAAACTGGACCTAATGGAGAAAGCTGTGAAGGCGCACCGATCCTACACCAACATGGTGAGTATTCACAGCACACCTTTACGTTTGGTTTAAAAACAATAAATTCACAACCTGCTGAACGCCTTTAACGAGTCGCTGCATGGAGATGAATGATGTCAGTGAACATAAAGACTAAAGCTGCGCTCACATTGGGAAAATTTTTTGCGTCAAAGCGTCTGAATTCCATGCAAAGTCTATGGGAGACGGCGTGAAGAGGTCTAGCGGCGCATTTAAGCGTTCAATGCTGGAGCTTGATGATGGGTTCAGCAACACTGGATGCGTCGGCGTATGTGTCGAGCTCTAAAAGAAAAATACTGTGTCGGTGCACATATAGTTTCATGAAAGTCACGTGACCGATACAGGAGCTGTTTGGAACTGACTGAAGCACTAAATTGTGTTTATATGCGCATCTGTTGACACAACGATGCTGCCAAAAAAAAAAAATCCGATCTTTTGCGGTTTATCATCAAACTAATCAAGAAAAACGGATCATCCTAAAGAGAAAAGAGCGGGACGATTCTGATCTCATATTTGATCTTTGTTATCATAGTTATGACTCTTAGTTTGCTGTTCTGTTATCTTAAATAGATAAATAAATCCTAGTCCCACATGCTCACTTAAATTTTAATGCTTTGTTAAAACTGATGGATTATCTAAAAATCTATGTGAAAATATCAAACATATTTTCAATTTATACCAAAATATGAAATACTACATCAAAGCAAACAATGGTTTTAAATATAATTTAATATTATAGGTCATCCAATCAGTGTCAGTTTACTCTGTCAGAGTCTAACTGTAGTGTTTTCAAATGTCCAGCAGGTGTCAGTATTCAGTGAAACATTATTGAAACAAAATCAATACAGTTTTCCAATGTGTCGAAACGTTTCGATTCAGAAAATTTAACGTTTGCAGCTGGATGCCGAAGCATCAACCAATCAGAAAGCCGATCCAGGAGTTTTTTTTTGGGAGCTTAGGGATATGACAAAAAAATATCGAAGGAGTAAAACTCCAAAGGTTTAAAATAAAGGTGGAAGAATGGATTAATATATATAGAAGGAACAGAGAGCGAGCTCTGTTTATTATTGCTGCACTAAAACAGTTTTTATGAACTGTGGTTTATAAAAGTTTATAAATATCTAAATTAACTAAAAATGTTAAAACCTGCCGATGAATAATATATAATTGTAGATTCACATACTTGCAGTTTTTATCACAAACCCTAAAAACTCTTTCTATTCACTCCCAGCTGCTACAAAC